CCCCCTCCCACAGTATAAGAAGATCATTTCCTCTGACCATCCGTATGTTTACTTTTCTCTAAAAAAATATAACAATCTTCTTTCTTTAATTTTATTTCATTCTGTTTATGTCAGAGGTGAACCAGATACATATTATACACATACACGCACATATTTTTATTGTCTCCTCTTCGGTATGACAGAGATTACCAAGCGTTTTTCTTTTTAAGTTTCATAAAAAATTACGATTCACTTCTTTAATTAACATAATGGTTTGTAGAGGTCCCGCATATATGTCAACACTTGAATGAACACAGACATCATATTTGCCTTTTCAGGACCTGATTGACTGGTTTGTATAAATACTTTACGCTTGAATTTTTGTTCTTTTCTTTGAATCCGAGATTGCAGCAGGTCAGGTTTCATTATGTCGTCAGTTATTAGGGCCCAAGTATAAAAAAAAAAAAAAAAAAAAAAGAACTTCAAGGTAGTAGTAATATTTTACTTAACTTTGAGCGTTGAACTGCACATGGCAAAAAGCGTCATTCTAGTTTCAATTCTTTTCTCTTATCCCTATATGAATGAGATTTCTTTTTGATCCTAGGATGAACCCATTTTGTGATTATTTTTAGTTCCTGTTCACATAACGAATTACTAGATAATATAAACGACTCATTTCTTACCCATTTCACTTTTGCCTGTTTTTCATTGCACGAAAAATTGCCTATAAAATTTTTTTTTAATTTATTATTATTCCTTATTGTTATTTTTTTTTTATTACACCCACGAATTTGTGATTTTTTAAAACAATATAACGAGAATCGATTCTTGTTAGAATTTTTTCCTTTTTTTTTTTTCCTTTTTTTTTTTGGCATAAAAAAAACTCTCCAATCTTGAATTTATTATTATTATTATTATTATTATTTGTACTCTTGTTTATTATTTGTAGTAATAATAATTCATTTTTCTCTCATTATGACAACGCCTTTCAACTTACCGTCTCTTGATTCCGCTTACAATCTTTCGGTCCTTCAACAACTTTCTCAGCAACAAAAGTTTCAACAACAACATCAAGCCGTCGAAGCAACCGTGGTACCAGGCGTCTTTGCTAATCCCAATTCTCTTTTACCTCCACAACAGCAACAAGCCGTGGCCCAATTAGCTTATTTATATAATAGCAGTACCGATAATTGTTCAAC